GTAGCCGCGTGTGTTACCTACGCAGAGATAATGCTCGTGACGTAGATAAGAAAGAGGTAATTATTAAATGGCAACGAGAGCGGCAGATATCAGGCTGCATAAGGTAAAACAAGGTGGATGGACGGTTGTAGAGCGGCATCAAACGAGGCCTTCCTGTTTCGCCGGGGTGCGAGGAAAGAAGGAGTCGATATGGCGCGAAGATCGTGCAGAAAGGGAAGTTATATACGGTACGCTTCGCTGTATCTTGGACCAACCATGGGACGATGATGACAGCAGGTCTGGCGGGTGGCAGGCCAATAAATCATGGCTTACAGTGTGGGAACCTCTGCCTATATGTTGCTCTCTGCGTGTATGGGGTATGCCATCAGTAAAACCTTTACTCCCGTGAGTTGATCGCAGGGTGACCGTACGTCGTACATGTATATATAACTCTTTCTCTTTCTCTCCCTGTGTTCGAGCCTGTTCTCTTCGATTCCACACTCTTCAACAGTGCATGCTCGGGCCACCGCCCGCGTGTAGCAACACCAAGAGATGAATATGCTGGTGCAGGCGTTGCATCCTGTGTAGGTGTACATCCTTATGAATACATCATACATTGTTACCAAGAGGAGCACGATGTATCTCGGGTAATCAGTAACGGTGCAGCCGTTCATCGAGATCAGCCTTTTTCGGTAATCACTTCTTTCCCGATGCTCTCTCGCGGTCTTACCATTCAACTCTGTGTCAGCGATATTGTATTTATACCCGAAGGTCTGCCATCCATACACAGCGGATACGTTTGCTAAAAAAATGACTGTTCGAAACGCTATACATAAATCAACATTGTTATATTACATCGAGTTTAACGCCGGTCATCTTTCTTTTTTTGGTAAATAAAAACCTTCGGGCCGAGTAGAGTTGAAGCATTTTACATGCCGTCTACCGAGTGGAAAATCATAAAACTTTATCTGCAATCGACTTTTATATCGTTCACCACAGATACTATGAAGTATGAGTAATTGTAAAAAAAAAAAAAAAAAGGAAAAGAGAACAACGACGTGGAAGGATCATCGTGTAAGATAAGTGCAACAAAACAGGACAGTGTTATATTTCTTATACAAATACGAAAAACTTCACAAACTTACAATTGCAAAAGTGCGCGTCGAGTTATTCGCGTAATGCGGAACCTCGTTCGTTGTATAACAGTATAACGTAATTCATAAAAAGGAACACATTCAACAGGATCAGGTTCCGAATAGAACGTGTATCGACAAAGAAAAAATAGGAAAGAAGGAATTGTTCGAAGAAGCAAAATGATAACAAGGAATAAAAACAGTTGTAACATTGTTTTCTATTTGAGTAGCTATTATCCTCGTAATTGTTTGCTATATTGTACAACTTTGTTGCGACATGATTATGATAACTCGTGCACATTATACAGAATGTATATGTAAGCATTTTGGTTGTTTTAATGTATTTTACTTTTGTACAAATGTAAAATGTAGTAAAATGGGTTATAATGAATTGGAGCTTTTCTGTTGTTAATAGAATACAAAAAGTTGACTTTGTAATTTCTTTGTGTAAAGAATATTTTCTAGAAATTTTACCGTTATTTTATTACTTTCTAATTTCAGTGTATAACTATATTAATGTTATGTTAGCAAATAATACCTGTGACATTATATATATACTTAAAGTTTAATAAAAATTTTCATTTCTTAATAACTTTATGTGAATATATAGTATTGTAGTTTTTAACGTGAATATTTTGAAAAACTATTACAAGATAATTAAATTTTTATCTTTTTAAATCTATTTTTGTAACTTATTCTTTTGTTTATTTTTTTGAGTAAATAATTTACAAGTTAATATAAAATTACATTTGTATTTAAATGTATAAATATTTTTTGACAAAAGCTCTTTAAGAAGTGATTTGAAAAAATATAGTAGTAATTTTTATGTTTGTTTCATGCCTGACAATTATTTTTATTTTATATCGTGAATGTTTAAAAACTTATGTATCAATAAATCAATCATTGTAGATTGTATATGAATAATATTTCAATAATATAATTCTAAAATGTCAATTTTCGTATCTCTTATAAATAATATATATGTATGTGTGTGTATAGTATATAAAGTAAATTCACGATTTTTTAGTTAATTAGTTTTCAACACGTTGTTTGAATGTTTTTTGATAGATACTTGTTTCAACATTACTTAAAAAAAAAAAAAAAAAAAGAATAAATATATAGTTGTTCAAACGTTCAATTTATCTCAACGAGTCACAGATAAATAACAACGGGTTGAAGCTACGTATACCTACAGGACAGAATGAAAAATATCGTTCGTTATTCATACGATTCTAGAAGATAAATTTAATATTATTCAGATCTCGGGCAATTAATTTCGGTGAAAATTTACACAGGGACAACAAAGTTGCAGAGTCGTCGCCGCCGAGTGCCGCGTAATTTCAATCTCGAGAACATACTCTCCATTAACTTTTTTCGAGCACTTGTGTGTTTCCGGCTTAATTGCCTTTCTACTTGTTTTTTTATTTTTTATTTTTTCATCAGACTGGTTCAGGGCAACAAAATGGTAGATACTCTGTGATCGTCCATATATTGGATCCAAAGTTTCGATATCGAAACCGCCGGTCGCAATGAATAACGACCTCAGTTTTAAGAAGTTAAAAGTCTTCTGCTGGTTATAATAGCCCGAGGATATATGCGGACGTCGATGATCTATACCTGCAACATTGTGGCCCACGCCTTGCATATAGAGCTAATGTGATTTTGCAAGCCGATCAAAATGAAATCAGATCGCGAGCTAAGATTGATTGCTCCCGAATTCCCAATAATTTATATATTGGATCTGATCGTTTGACATTATTGTTCTTTACGTACTTCCTTCGTTGCACTTTTAAGCAAGTGAATGAAGTTTATCACATGATTTAAGTTGCAAATGATTATACTTTTTTTTTTATCGAGGAACAAGTTTCCTGTAACTGTTGTGAATTTGTAAATCTATAAAAGAAATTTGTTATCAAACTTTACTCTTTCTTTTATAGTAGAAAACTTCATTATCGAAGAGGATTATCTTTTATAATAAAAATATCATTACTGATATATGAACATGCTCGGTGAGTATAATAAAGCGAAATATTATCATTTCACAGAATTATTTTTCAACATGAACCTGCCGATTCTTTTGCATGAAAACCACTCTGACCAGTTATTTCGGTCTTTTCTTATGGAAACTATTCAAAATGAAATAATGTCTATACGATTGCAAAACTTGTCGTATATATCTTGTAATTTCATCCACGCATAAGAATGATATTTTTTCCTTTATTAACGATATACAGTTACAAAAAAACATATTCATGATTTATTACTAAATGTTATTTCACTATTTAACTGTATTCTGCTATTGTATTTTATTTGTTAATTTTCTTTGACATATTTCACAAAGGCAACTATATATAATCCGTATCCTTTTATACAATAAAAGAATCATAAATTACTGCCTGTCGATATTTATGCTCATTGTTTTATATACCAAACAATTTTTATTATCACTGAAATGATATATCATATTCTTATTTCTCATCATTCATATTGTTCATTCGTACCAAATCCAAGTACTTTGAAATGATTTGTTTCAATTTGATGATTTTTAAATAACTAATTAGAAATTTAATTTGATATTAGATTAAAATATATATATATATATATATATATATATATATATATATATATATATGCAAACATATTTTTATTTTTATATATTATATTATATTTATGCATATTTATTATCATAAATGACATATTACATTATACGTCATCATTATATATACTATACATTATATATATTATTTATTTTTCTCTCTTTTATATATAATATTATATATTAACAAATAAAAAATTTTAGTATATAAAATTACTAGTTGCGATTGATACACCAAAGATAAATATATTTGACATAGAAATTATAAATTCCAAAGATTTTGGGATTAAGTTATTTTTTTTAAATTAAATTATTTTTTTTTTTATGCACTAATCAATTTGTATTAAAATATATGTTAAATTTAATTTTATAAAACTTTGCGTGCAAAGGATAAGCAAAGCGATAGAAATTTGCATCTTCTATTTGCTTTTTGCTACATTAATTAATATTAATATTCATAAATTGAGATTACATTATCATTAACTGATATATGAAGAGTTCAAAAACTAATGAAAAATGATTTGTTGAATTTTCGGTCAGTGAAACATAGTTTAGTTATAATATTGTGATGATTATATTTTAATAATTGTAATATAATGAAGATTTTGACAATGAAAGAATATTTGCATAGCGTAAATTGTTTTTAACACTACTTCCTTACTTGAAATAAATTTATTTTATTCTCTTGAAATACGAAAACACTTTCATCCATTTCATTTTACCAAAATTTATTTAAATATCTAAAATACACTTATATCTATAAAATATAAATAATAAAATTTACATCTATAAGATATCTACAAACAAAAATTATAAATTAAGGTAATTGACTTACACTGATTGGCTTCTGAACCTTATAAACATACATATAACAAATAATAATTGTTCATATTAATTTCTTTCATTTATTTTCATATATGAAGAGGTCAGTATTTGTGAAAAAAGTGAAGCATACACAAAGGAAAACATTTAGTCAAAGGATGAAAAAAAAAAAAAAAGAAATTCGAAGATATCAGCTTTAAATAAAATATCCTAAATTTTGTTGCACGTTGTAAGAGAAGGCGATTGGATTGTCGTAAAGGGTCCAGATAAGACCCATGTGTTGTCCACGTTACCTTGACTCTCTCTACCGGACTCTCGCATAAATTTCAATCGAACGCATCCCTCCACTTTTTTTTTTTCACCGATTCGATGCAAAATAAAATGCGAAAAATATATTCCCACGAGCAGTTAGGCCAGACGTTATCCGTACATACTATAATCATTGTTCGCGTATCAAGCCGATGAACGAATTGAACACGTTTTGAATTGATCGGGAAAAAACTGATATAAACTGACATAAACTGATGAGTTGGACAATCTCGTTTAGATTGTTTCACGTAGCTTTTTGTCATCGAGGACGAGGGAAGATCGTTAAATCGTTGAGAGTAGAATGAAATACGAGCAAGTCCTTTGGCTCTTGTTTGAAAAATGTCAAAGGCTACCGCAGGTCGACAAAATGGTGAAACTCGAGCCTGCAAACGCTCGCATGGCAAACTGTAGAAACCGCCACTGTTCTGACAAATGACAAAATAAAACTGTTTTGCTATGAAATTTCTGTATTCAGCGAACGCGAATCCATTTCCGTAATCGCGCGTCCAATCGACCTCTCAAAGGGACAATGACGTGTTTTAATTGCACGATCTTTCTCGCTGATAAAAATTTTTTAGTAGTTTAACGCCGTGAGGTACCGTGAATATTACTGACGTATATTTTTAAGGCGCGTTTCGTGGAATACAGTCGTCAGATCAGTATCTTCGAAAGACATTCGAGAAACGTTACTTTTCACTTAAGACGTCCACTATGACGGTGTCGAATGGGAGTTAATAATTAATTATTTCAGTAACAACACGGTTCTTTACGTACTTTATACAAAATAAAAATTTATATTAAACATTGGATATAAATATAAATATTAATTATATAAATTATATAAATATTAATAAAAATATAAATTATAATAAATTATATAAAGATTAATTATATAGTATTATCAATATTAAAATTAGTATTAAAGAAGTGTCAACTAAATTCTTATTTATCATATTAAAATTCTTTTATTAGTGAAACATTGAATTTTAAAAAAAAAGGTGTATACTCATCTTAAAAGGTTCTATTGTGTGAACACTCTTTGGTGGATGCAATGGATCGGACAAAGATGGGGAAGAAAATGAATCCTTCGTTTTGTTATGAATTCAATAAACACGAAGGAATGTATATATATATAATCAGAAATGAATATAGTTGTCAATTAATGAACGTGTGTAAGTACTTATCTCGTATTTGGATAAAAATGTGCTTACACCACTTTGCATGTAAGTACTGAGTCCCTCGTTTGTTCCAATAAGTTGTGGCTAGCCAATGGCTCTCTGTTACAACCAGTTTATTATATACGTGCATACAGGAAACGATATCTCAGATCGACAATTTACGTAAAGAATTTTGATATAAATTTCCAAGTATTTATTGTGTAATAAAGTGCGGACATATGTGCGTTTAAAGTATGTTAATATAAAACATACAAAGCATTATTCATTTGTACATTGAAAATGTACCAGATACGCAATCACTATGTATATGAAAAGTAAATTATAATAACAAGAATTTTACTATTTAAGTTTGCAACAAACTGTAAATATCTTTTATCTCAATTATGATTAATAATAAATTATTGATTACTGATTAAAATTGTAATATTATATGTTGGGAAATCACTTTAAAAAATAATTTACATGTAATTTCATATTATTACATGAATAGTGTTTGGTTTCTTTAAAATTTTAACGATTTGTGATATAATTTTAAAACTAAATTTTTTTTTAAAAGCTACATTTCTGTAAAAATTTATGTAAAATTCTTTTGTACTTGTTTCTCCAGAAAATATATGAAATATATAATATATGTAAAATACATAAAATTTAAGTTTAGTTTGTTCTAATATTAGTACAACCATTGACAGATTTAGTGATTGGAAATATATAATTTTTATTAAAATTATGTAATTCATTTGTGAAGTAATTTATTTATTAATTAATACTAAACAAAAATAATTATAAGTGTCAGTTACTGTATTATTATGATTGATCCGCTAAAGAATTTCTATTTTCATTTTTCATGTTAAGCTTTTTTATTAAATTTTAATAAATCTACACATAATAATTTTGCAATCTTCGCAAAAAATAATTTAAATTAATAAGATATGAACTATTTGCCTTTTCTAGTTAAATTATAATATAGTAGTGTAAATATAAAAGTATAGATAGTACAATATCTAAATCTTAAATTTTATGAATACAGTTATTGTTCATTTCTATCAGATAATAAAGAACATTTATTAGTATGTGGAAAAAAATTAATAAAAGAATTTATTACCAAAGAAATATAATTTTATTAATATAATTTGATTAACCGAAATATCATGTTCAATTAAGTTGTAAAAGCATTATTAAAATTTTTATTATTATTTAACAAGTTATTAAATAAATTGTTCTTTTATCAGTGATTCATACTCAATCAGTGAATTTTATTCTTATTAATAAATCGCGATTACTGTAAAAGTAATGCAAGTATTTTTTCGTAGATCATTTTTTTGATATTATAAAATATCCTCCGACTTGATTCTTTAGAGAAAAAAAATAAATAGTTTTAATCATAAACAATAAAAATGGCAATGTAGGTAAATATATAATTTTATTTATTAACATTATTTATTACCATTATTTATTACTATTAATGTATTGTAATTTTTTTAAGTATATCAAGTTTTTTGTTAGAGTTTATTTTTACTCATCCTCTCATTTTCTTTCTCTCTGAATATCATAAATTATATTAATTATATTAATTGTCAATAAGATGAAAAAATTCAATAGAAGCTAGTTGATATAGTGAAAAGAATTTTTAAGTTTAAATTATATCAAGTTATTTTAATTTTTGTTCATTCATTACCATCATTTTATTTGACTTGAAGTATATTTTCACGATTCAGATAAAAATAAGTTTCTTTCAACTATTTCTTAAATAATAAATAGATGAATGTGTTGGTTTTTTGATTCATTCTTGTAACATATCTTAAATTAAATCAATTTTCTTCTCAATACAATCATACTCGTCGAATCTTTTCACACACCCCTGAGACCATTTCTGTATCTTCTTTTATCTTATCCATAGTTTATCGTTCCAATAAATAAACCAATGGGCCTTCTTCCAAAATTTTAATAAATTATTTATAATTCTCCACTAAACATCATCTGCATTAAAACGACTTTGCGTTGATAATTTGTACATAATTTTCAGACAACTTGAATTGAAATATTTAGTTTGACTAATCTGATCAATTCTTTGCCGAATCAACCATCATGGAGCCTCGTCAGGTTCCGATGATCCAAGTATCGAATTTACACGTAACTTGCACGAATGTTGTCTCTCTACGGCTGTTGTTCGCGCGGCGAAGACCTACTCTGCGTCCACTGTCCACCACTTCGTGATAGTGACCCTGGCCGAAGGACCTGCCGACACCTTCCAAGTGTTACGCGGTCCAAGTGTTACCGTATAACCGTGCAAGAAAATCTCACCTGGCCACGTGAGGTCCCTTTCGGGTACTCAGATGTCACAGCTGGCAACCTGAGATCTTATTTGGAGCGTGTACAGGTATACGCGTATGTATTATACCTGTATTCTTCTATGTTGCTCTGTAACGTGATCTATCAAATTTGCTGTTAGATTTGTTTCGCTCGATTAGCACGTTTCCATAAGATTCCATTACTATTTCATTCTCTTCTTCGTGTAATTCTTCATTTTCTGGCGTTATTTATGTGATAGAAATAATAAGTAGTTTTTATCGTAATGTTTTTAAATAACACGGTGAAGAGGAAATTGAACGATATAGCTCTGATTAATACAATTCGTAAAACAAATAATTTTGATTAATTTAATTAAAATATTTTAATTCTTCATTAAAAGTTCAATATAGCTGCGGATTTACATTACCATATGTAAATTGGATACTTGGTGCAGTTTCATTAAAAGTTTTCATTGATGTTTTCATTACGTTTCAATTACTACGATTAACCAATGTTTCTCTTTAAAGTTTTATATTCATTTTTAATAAACAGCTAACACTTTATAAATAATCTGTATAAATTTTTTCAATGTTAAACAATAAACAGACATATTTAAAATTACTCTGCAGAATCTTCAGCCGCTCAATTATTACATTTATTTATTCTTTTTATCAATATGTATTAACTGTGTATAAGAGATTCATTTGAATCATATTTTATATTGCAATAATTTAAAAAATGTCCAAATATTTATGTACGGTAGTGTACATAAAAATTATGCATCAAATCTTTGTTTAGAAATAAAACTTAGAAATAAAAATTATTTATTTAAAAATGAAAAATTTTATATAAAAAATTTCTTTTGTTATAAAAATTGTTATATAAGTTAATTATATAGGCATCGTTAAAGAAATTCCTTTCCAATATTGGACAACTACCGTAGATTTATTTTTTATTTAATAAAATTTTAACTTTTCAAACATATCATATCAAATGTATAATCACTTGATTTATTCGCTGTTTTCTACCAACGGATTTCTCTCTTGTGGTAATTTTGAATATAATATACAGCGGGGCGAAAGTAAAAGAATGCCATACATTACCGAAACAATTCACAGAAATTAGCTGGCATTCGAACAAATTATTTTGTAATTTTAAACTTTCCTTGAAAGTTCGCTTCGCCAGATCTCCGAGTAGAATCATCTATATTTTTAAAAATATT